CCAGCCGTCTGGTTAGCAGGCAAGTGTCTTAGCCACTATGCTACCAGAGCTCCATACCTAAATTGTTTTATGTGGGTGGGATTACGATACAAAATATGTGTATGTTTCTTCTCTTTTTTCATAAATCAGTGAGTAATCTGTCACAATTTAAACAGTCCTGTTTCAATTTAAAAAGCTGAACACAGTCTATTAGAAATGCGTAGCTTTTAAATGTGTTCCTTCTTTTAAATGTGCTCCTTAACAGTAATGGTATGTTAAGAATATGGGGTCTTTGTACACAAGCTGCTTTGTTATGCCTTAATATCTGATTTAATGTTATGAAATCAAATGAGTAACATTCTTGGTTTATATCTCAAATCACACAGCAAACCAATTTTAATCCAGGCTTTGCCCTTTGCAAACTGTCTGTCCTAGTGTAAATTACATAATTTCACTTAGTTTCCTCATTTTAAAGTGGAAATATCTGCGTATCTGTGTGTACATATGTGTGCGTGTACGTGATAAAATAACATACGGATAACATTTATATAAATAATTCGGGGCACACCTACCACGTGTTAAACTTTAAGTGGTAGGTATCATTGGGAAATGCTGACAGGAAGGGGCGGAGCGCGAGGGGTGGCGGGGACAAGAACGCTGTGAGGGTGCAAGCGCGAGGCGTTAAGTCTGAGACCCGCAGCCGCAGAGTGTTGCGTCCGCCCCTTCTTGTTCCAGACTTCGGCGGGGGTCCAGTGGGCCTTCGGTGACGCCGAATCCAATGGACACAGCAGCAGATCATTCGGCCTTGGCCGTCAAGGCTTTGGGTCCGGCCGCGGTCCTCAGCTCGTACAGAGTCTTCTGCAAGGGACTTTCCCGCACCCTGCTCGCCTTCTTCGACCTGGCCTGGCAGCTGCGCATGAACTTCCCGTACTTCTATATCGCGGGTTCCGTGATACTCAACATCCGCTTGCAGGTACACATATAGAGCCATGATTAAACTGCTGGTAACGAGGGTCCGGTGCCATCGCAGACTCCTCAGCGGCCCAACTGGGAAGCGGAGCTGCTGGCGACGAGCTCCCAATCTCGCGAGACTTTGTTGAATGCTGCGCTCGTAACTGACGCGGAAACCTAAAGTGACGCGAAACAGGGAATTTGCGATTCCCAGAACGCAGGAAAGCTAAAATTAAGATTTAGAGAAATAGTTGAGAAGCTTTGCATCCTTAAAATAAAAATGGGACACACTTCAGGATGTGAATAAGGGCAAGGGATAAATAAAGATTACTGAAATTTTCAAAAAAACAATATACATCAAACTCATGGTCAAATATTAAGTAAATCTGTAAACTTAAGGAATATTGCATTGGATTGTAAGAAGTGCATTGAATGATTAAGAAGATGGAGATACTAGGAATATAGCATGGAAAAACATGTATTTCTTCATCCTACAGGAGAAAACACTGACAATAAGAAACTCTTAGGTGAAAAAAACAACAAAACTACCAGAAAAAATTCTCCAGATAACAAACGTAAAATGCTGCAGGATTTTGAAGAAAGTGGATTCCTTTTCAGTGTCCCTTTGATGAGATGGATGGAGACTTCGGAGCCAGAAAGAAGAAAATCCAATTATAGACAAACCTTAGCTATTCAATAACATTTAAATAGTAAGAAGAACGTAATGTTATTTATGACTTTCATCATTTAAAGGAATACATAATTGTGGTTACAAAATAATATGCAAATATTATTAGCCTTTGAAAATGTAATAATACAGTTGGCACAGGGGACTATTGGGGGAGATGATAATGGTGTCCTTATAAAGTGAGAAGTTGAAGAGAGAACGGCGTTGAGGGAAAACAAATTATTATTTAAAGGAAAGTCATAAATTTGTAAGATACCAGTATAACTATTAAAGAGGGAAAAGCATAGGGAAGAATAGCGTAAAGTCAACAGGAAATGCTTAAAGAAGAATTCAGATGACATGTCTCAAAATGAAAATTTTAAATAGAGTACCTGATACATTTGAATGTAGAAACAGGATTTTTAGTTTTTCATATACTCTGTAGATGAAATGTTGTTGTTGTTATGTGCCGTCGAGTCCAACCGACTCATAGTGACCCCTCCTTGGGTTTCCGAGGCGGTATCACTACGGAAGTAGGTTGCCCCATCTTCCTTCCCAGGAGTGGCTGATGGGTTTGAACCGCCATCCTTCTGGTTAGCAGTCAAGTGCCTTAAGCACTATGCTATCAGAGCTCATTGTAGATGAAATAGTGATCTGTATATATGAGAAAGAAACCTGAGGCAAAAATAAAAAGTTGTTCAAAAATTATATTGCATGCCTCAACTGTGAATGATACTAGTCATATATACCCACTGTAATCAAATCTATTTTCACTCACAGAGACCCTATGGGACAGACTCAGAAACATACTGTCTCCTGCGGGGCAACTGGTGGGTTCAAACCACCGACCTTTTGGTTAGCAGCCAATGCTTTAACCATAGCACCACCAGAGCTCTCGACATTTGGTCAGCCATAATAAGGAAATACAGAGTCCTAGTGGTGCAGTGGTTAAATGCTCAGCTTTGGCTGCTATCAAAGGGTCTCGGTTTTTGGTTTGCCAGCCCCTCAGTGCAGAAGATGTGGCAGTCCTTCTGCTTCCTGACGATTACATCCTTAAAAACCCTATGAGGCAGTTCTACTCTGTTCTGCAGGGTTGGTATGCCTCGACTCAACAGGTTTAATTAGGTAAACACTGAAGGATATGTATAAAGGAGAGTCAATCAAGATACAATATAGAAAAATCAGGAAAGCAATATAAACATTCCAAAAAATGGAGATAACTATGATGAGAAACAGTGAAGAGTTCAAAGTGGAGAACAGAAATGAGGAATGGGTAGAGAAAAGGCAAAGGACTGCTGTATTCGATATCAGTTTAACAGTATTTCTTTATTTTTTTGAATTACGTGTATTTCTTTGATTAAAAATTCATTTAATTACATTTCTTTATAAATTTCCCCCACATAATTCTAATGTATATCATTGGTTAAGAGCCACCAGAGTAGAGTGGGATTAAAATACAAACTAGTTTTGTGGTCTTAGGTGAATCCATTAATCTGCCTAAACACTCAGTTTCCCAAGTGTTAAAGGTCAGTCTGAGAGTTGAAAACCTGACTTAGTAGCTGATACATACACAATAAATAATATTTATTTTTACAGAATATCAAGATGTGAATAAAACTTAAAACTCACATATGGAATGTCTGCTTTTCCAGTGAAGCTTCTTGTTGTGTGCCATCGAGTCAGACCCGACTCATAACGACCCCTCCTTGGGTTTCCAAGACAGTATCACTACGGAAGTAGATTGCCCCATCTTCCTTCCAAGGACTGGCTGGTGGGTTTGAACCGCCAGCCTTCTGGTTAGCAGTCAAGTGCCTTTAGCCACTAAGCTACCAGAGCTCCAGTGGAGCTTATCAGTCCCAAAAGACATATACTGACTAGATCACGTGGGCTTGAAGGGAGACTTTGGGAAGTTACGTGAGTTGTTTGAGCCAGTTTCCCAAGGTAAAAATTTAAATCTTTCAATGCTTTGTACTCCACTAATTGTATCTGGCATTTTAAAATAGTAAGCACCCCTTCCAGCATCATGCCTGGCTTTGGGTAATTGTTCCTCCTGTCCTTTATTCATTGTATCTAGCCAAAGTCTACTGATCCACCTCTTTTCCTGCTTCCTCTTTGTTTTATCGTCTACTATTTTTCACCAACAGGAGTTCTACCCATGTTCTAAGGCTAAGCTTAGATGTCACTTTTTCCTTTCATTTTTTCTAGTATGCCCGTGAGCAATTAGATATTACTCCTTTTAATCCATCTGAGGGCTCTCTTAATATCAACCTATGCCATTTTCATAGGCTGCCTTAGTTTGTGCTTACATATATATTAATTCTTTGGCAGTTTTGGCAAAAAGAAAAATAGTAAGAAGACATCTCCTGAACTGTAGTATCTTCACTTGGTAAATACATATTACTGTTATAGAGTGCAGGAGCCAAAACATTTTACCCTATGTTGTTGTCGTTGTTGTTATTTGCTGTCGAGTCGGCCCCGACTCATAGCGACCCCTCCTTGGGTTTCCGAGGCAGTTATCACTACGGAAGTAGGATTGCCCAACCTTCCTTCCGGGAGTGGCTGGCGGTTCAAACCCACCAGCTTCTGGTTAGCAGTCAAGTGCCTTAGGCACTATGCTACCAGAGCTCCTATTTTACCCTATAGTAAAAGAAATTTAGTTCAACCAATGATATAATTTAGTTACACCAATGACTTAAAAACGGAGGGTCTCAATATTTCTACATACTTATTTGTATGTGCTATAAGAATGTCCATATAACTAGAACTAACAGAGCAAAGTTATGATAACTTCTTAGGCACAGTCAGCCACCCTGATGGAGTGAGTTGTTGGACCTGTGGTCTCAGGACCATGGTTGCAGGGGACATCATGCTCAATTGGCGTAACATACTACATAAAAACATTGTTCTACATCCTACTTTGTTGAGTAGTGACTTGAGTCTTAAAGGCTTGCAAGTGGCCATCTAAATACAACAATGGGTCTCTCCTCATCCAGAGCAAAGAACAATGAAGAAAACCAAAGATATATGGAAACAATTAGTCCAAGGGACTAGTAGACTATGCAAACCTCAGCCTATAATAACCATGAGACCAGAACTAGATGGTGCCTGACTACTACCATTAACCACTTGGAGAGGGACCCTGGATAGAATGGGAGAACAATGTGGAACGAAACTCAAAATCATAGAAAAGACTAGGTTTACTGGTCTGATAGAGCCTGGTGAGACCCCTAAGTCTATGGCCCCTAGTTACCATTCAGTCTGGATTTGAACTCACTCCTCTGGCATCCACCCAAACAACGAGCAGGCATATAGAGTGAACATTTACATTAGGCAGATACACTCCTTAGAATGATCAATAAGGGGAGAACAGAAGGGCAGCATTTGCACAGGGAGATGGCTGAGGGGGCAGGAATACGTAGGAAATAAGGACACAGGGAAGAGGTAACTACAAGGAGGAAGTAGGAAGAGAGCTGTTACATTGTGGGGATGTGCAGTCAATGTCATGAAACAAAATGTATGAAACTGCTGTATGGAAAAAGAAAAAAGGTCTCTAGATATATAAAAGAACATGGTAGCTATTGGCCTAGAATGAAGTGAGACAGTGGTAAGCTACATTTAGATGGCTAGAACATGGGCTTCCTTCAATCTTTCTAGATCATTCTTACAATGAAGAAGTTAAGGTACATTAACAGACTTTACCATATCCTCCAACTAGAAACCGCTGTGAGGAAAGATAAGGCATTTTATCCAATTTTATAGCCTGAAGGAAATAATCAGCAAGCAACCCATTGCTGTCAAGTCGATTCCAGCTCATAGCGACCCCATAGGGCAGAGTAAAACTGCCCTATAGTGTTTCCAAAGCTATAAATCTTTAGGGAAACATTACCACATCTTTCTCCTACGGAGCAGCTGGTAGGTTTGAGACCTTTTGGTGAGCCACCTAGCACTTAACCAATGCACAACCAAGGCTCCTTAATCAACAACAGTAGGAACTAAATGAAAGCTCTGATTTTCCATTTATACTTCACAATTATGCTTAAACCTAGATGTGTATTTTTCTTCCCACATAATGCAACTTAATGAAGTTTCACAGGGGTGGAAACAAGATTTTTGCCCACTTACTCTAAAGGAACCACCATTAAACCACTAGTTCTAATTTACAAATAATTTTATTCCTCTTGGTATCCTTCCAGGTAACTTCGACAGGGCCAAGGATTTTCTTTGTTCACTGCTCTATCCCCTAGCCTGCAGTATTAACTAATACAAAATAGATAAAGATTTTTTGAATGAATGCCAATTTAGTTGGTTATTCTACACATAGTTGTTGTTGTTGTTATGTGCCATCGAGTTGGCCCCGACTCATAGCGACCCTTCCTTGGGTTTCCGAGGCAGTATCACTACGGAAGTAGATTGCCCCATCTTCCTTCCGAGGAGTGGCCGGTGGGTTTGAACCGCCAGCCTTCTGGTTACCAGTCTAGTGCCTTACCCACTATGCTACCAGAGCTCCCAA